CACTAAATGTCACTATTTGTAACATTTAATGTAATGCAAAATATTGTATTAAAAAATTAACTGTAGTGTAAATATGTTGAAGTAATTAATCATGTTATTTTACTATTTACATGCAATGAGGATAGTAAATGAAATTTTGTGTTGAGCTGTATAGAAAAAATTTTAAGACTTATAATTTATAATTTTAATGATAGACATTTAGCATGTGAGGAGGAGAGAGCTGATGTTGCAGAATTATTACATCGACACGGTGCTTCTCTTGTTATTCAAAATAAGGTAACTTTGTACATTTATCTTTTTAAGATGTATAACTTGTCCTTTATATAGTTTAAGATATATAATATATAAAGTTGACTTGAAGACGTTTAAATTTCTTCTTAAAAAGAAAAAGAAAGAGTTATGGTATATTTATAGGAAGTAATTTATATATTGAAGGAGTAGTTATTTATAGGAGGTTTATATTTAAAAAGTATTTTTGTTTGTATTGAGTTATTTATATTTTTAAAACATGCTATTTTTTAAATTGGTCTTATGCCAGTGCTACTAAGTTTTTAGCAATTTAATTTAAATCAAATAAAACATTATTAACAACAATGGTCACTATGGTTTTTATTCTTAAATGAGACCAATGTAAAGTAATGTTTTTAGATTGATCTCATTTAAGAATTTTAAAATCTTGACAAATTAAATTTTTAAAATTACACAATTCTATTGAAATTGTATTAAAGTTAAAATGTAAAAATGATATATTTTAAAAATAAATGTATAAATTATAAAAAGTTAATAAGAAAAAGAAAATCTTGTTGATATTTTGTCTATTTATAATATCAAAGCCATATAAAGTATGTGTTAAATAAACCAAACAGTATACTGTATATAATGTATACATTCACTTTTAGACTACTCAAAGTATTGTTTACAGGTTTTTTTTGAAACTATGCTTAAAATTTGTAATCTTGACTCAGAATCCAAATTACAAAGGTGACAAATTTTAAAAACTCTTCCAAGTGCACCATATAAAGCGTGTTTATGGAGAAATCTAGTAGGGTTCGAACAAAAGAAAATTGAATTACAAAAAGAAAGGTGATTGAGCACTAAGGTGAAAAAAATAAACTAATAGCACATAAAAAAATAGTCAGAGGATTCAAATTTGATTTTGAGACAAATATGTTAATTAATGCATATGTATATGCCCAGGTCGAGCATGTGACTATAGGAATTTTGTGAATCAAAAGATAGTTACCATTAACACTGAAATTCTAATATGAAACAGTCGAATTCTAAGTTTTCTCACAAAGAGCAAGTAAGTCTGGTGAATTTTACAAGAGGTAACTTTCTACTGATGAATAGTTGTTTTAAAGACAAGTTATTTATCGGGTGATAAAAGATTAAAGCAATTAGGTGGTGGGGATGGTTTTTATGTTTAATATTTAAGGTATTTCAAGTTGTTATGGAACTTGGTTTGATCACGGATAGTATACTCTCTCGACATTTCTAAAGTCTTTGATAAAGTTTAGCATGCTGGTCTTCTCCATAAGCTTTCTTCTTACGGTGTATTTTTACGGTAACATTTTAATTATGGTAACATTTTTAAGATTATTGAATCTTTCCTTACCAATCGTAGTATAAATGTTGTCCTCAATGGTCAGCACTTTTCTTCACATCCTGTAACTTTAGGGGTTTCTCAAGGTTCTATCCTTAGCCCTATAATCTTTTTAATTTACATTAACAATCTCCCAGAAATTCTCACATCCAAGGTGGCATTGTTCGCTGATGATACTACCATTTATTCTTGTCTTAAGAATAAGAATAATAAATAAGAAGCCAACACTCTTTGTTTGCTTGGAGGGGGCATTTGAGCTTGAAAAGGATCTTGTTTGTGATAAAGTATGTGGCTCTCATTAACTTAGATAAAATTCAATTTTTTTCAGCTTATCATTATCGCAATAATCTAGATCTTCCTATATTTATCAGCTATAATGTACTCAATGAGTCATCTACTCTTTATCTTCTAAGATTAACTCTTACTTCTGATATTTCTTGGAAAGCATATATCAAATTGATTTCAAAATTATCATCAGCTGAGGTTGCATCTCTTTATCGTGCTCGCTACTTTCTTACTTAGGATTCTATTTTTTATCTTTATAAATCTTAAATTCGTCCTTATATGGAATACTGTTGCCATATCTGAGGAGGATCTTCCAATGATGCTCTTTCTCTTTTAGACAAGGTGAAAAAATGCATTGTAAATATAGTTGGACCTGCTCTTGCAGCCAACTTTCAACCATTATCACATTGTTGTAATGTTGCTTCTCTTTCACTTTTTTATAAATACTATAATTGGCACTGCTCTAAAGAGCTAAAGTCTCATGTGCCATCCACTAAAATTCGTTCTTGTGTTACTCGTCATTCAATTAAGTTTTATCTTTTTTCTGTGACTGTTTCTAAGTGCACCAAAAATTCTTATCTGTCTAGTTTTTTCTTTGAACATCAGTTCTTTTGAATTCGCTCCCTTCATCTTGTTTTCCTGATTCATATAATTTGCAATCTTTTAAGTCATCTGTTAATTGTTATCTTGCTCTATAGATTTCATCTTTTCTCTTCCAGCAACTTCCAACTCTAATACTGGTTGCTTGCAGCCTTGTTGGAAGTGAAGATGTTAAAAAAAAAAATACACTTTACTGTAATTAATAATAATGCTTTGGTATTATTTTTAGTGCAATGAGTCAACTTGATTTAACCTTTGCCTAGAAAACCAAATCCTATAAGTAGAAATGCGATCATGATGGTTCTAAACTTAACCTAAAATATTTAAGTAATACTCTAATATATTGCCAATATTAAGGACATATTAAAAAGTTTAATGCACAATTAAACTTTTTAATATGTTCTTAATATTGGCAATATATTAGAGTATTAGCTCCATCATAGAGAAAAAACTTGTCTCTCCATCATAGATTAAAATATGTGAAAGCAACTAAAAAATTTTTTTTTGTTTTAATAAAGGAGAAGCGTTTTTTTTTGAGTTATTTTAACAAATAGATTTTAAATTTTTTTTCTTTTTATTAACTCAATATGTAAAGTTCATATGATGTAAGTTTTATTTATGAACCTAGATTGTATTTACAAATATCTCACTGGTAGCTGATAAAATCTATTAAATTCTATTAATTGTATATAATCTTTATTTGAAATAGTTCATTAAATACTAAAAAAAAAGTTGACAAAAACTGCAAGGCGCTCCTGGGTAATATTTTTATTTGTCAATGGTTGCATTTGTTTCAAATCCCAATGCAGAGTTAAAGGCTTCGGAACAACCCATTGCTCCCTGCAAACTAAAGCTATCTTCTGTCCAACTTTATGCCTGAATTTGTCAGCAGTTGAATATGATGTACAAACTTTTGACATGTCGTCTCCAGCCTCAGATATCAGGGTTTCAGTATAGGCTGCTTGCTGTGTTGGTGTTATCTTTAGACAAATTGCTAAGGTGACAAGTTAGGGCTTTTTTTATATATCATGAGGAATGAAAGCAGGAGTTCCGGGTTGACTCTTGATACAAAGACGTCTGCTAGCAGTCTTAACTGGTAAAACATCATTTGGAAGAAGTTCGTAATCAGAATCATTGTCATTGTCAGCTTTGTCAGGGCTATTAGCTCTTCAACCTATAGTACTTAGCTAGTAATTAGCTCTTCAACCTGGACACTATCTGCAGCCATAGTTCCAACTTCTCTGTTGCTTCAGTTTCTGACACCGCAATGCCTCTCTCTTAGCGCTTCTGACGACGCTAAACCTTTGTCATGAGAACCAAAACTTGCTGCACAATTGGTTTTTAAGTTATCCTCCATCTGCAGGACCTTTTTCATCAAAGGTGGTATTGTCCTGCGTGCACACGATATTGCTCTATTTTTGTCGTTGTCATCAAGCAGCTTTAAAGGGACTACCAAGTCCCGAAACATGTTGTGTTCATATTAAAGAGAATGTTAAAAAAAAACGTCTGAGCATATTTTTTTTGATTAAAACTAATTAATAAATGTATACCAAGAAAAACAAATCTTGTTGTTTTAGTCAAAGCTCGTCTTCTCCGTTTTCTCTGGTATTTTGAGTATGTAAAATAAACGCGATTTTCCAGGCGCATTATACAGACTTGATAATTTATTCAAGCGCGTTTAATTCATAGGAGTTTTAGTGCTTGACGTCATAGATTTTTCTTTGTTTGTTTAAAACACCGATTGTTATTTTTTACATACAATTTCCAAATCATATTCATTTTTATTATATTTTAAAGTTCTAAAATGTGTTTTTAAAACAAAATTAAAAACAAAATAAAATTAAAAACAAAAATAAATTAAAAAACAAAATAGTATTTTATTTGCGCAACTTTTTTAAAATAATCGTCTAGACCACGTGTATTTTGATTTCTTTTGTTATAAGTTTTTCTTTCAAAATATTAGATAAAATAATTCTTAACCTAATTAATAATGCACTTTTATAAATATACTTTGTAAATATTAAAAAAAAAATTATTAACGCATTTTTTCTCTGATTTTCAAAAATGTATTTTTTGGTATTGAGGTGATCTTATTTCATTATTTATATTTCCATTATAAAATCCAATATATATTATGGCAGGGGCTTAAAAATTAACAAATTAATATATTTTAATTTTTATTTTACAGACACATGGAAACATAATTAACTTGAATGTTCTTAAAACATCTTGCGGAAGAATAAAAAGAATATTCGCAAACACTAAAAACCCGCCAAATTTGCGAACAAACTAATTTTATTGGTTAAAAAAATACGCTGACTAAGCGAAATAAAGTTCTAGAGTATTCTGTTGAAATGTTTTAGGAATTGTATTATTTACGATTTGTTGCGTTTTGAGATATCTAGCATAAATTTTTTTAAGAATATATTATCAAATGAACTATAACTTTAATATTATGGCTCATTCTCGGAGCCACGTAAATTTGTAACTAACTTTTAAAATTGTCAAAATTTTAAAAGTTAGTTACAAATTATATATTTTATTAGTATATTCTTAATTTTTATATCTTTTCTTAGTGCTTGGTTTAATTAATTGTTTGTTAGATTTGTAAAAAACTAACAAACAATTAATAAAATAAACTTTTAATAAAATGAGTAACTATAGTTAGCTATTTAAGTAAAATTTAATAGTAAAATTTTAAAAGAATTTCTACAATGTTTCCAATGACATCATGCTCTAAAACTCCTATGAATTAAACGCGCTTGAATTAATTATCAAGTCTGTATAATGCGCCTGGAAAATCACGTTTATTTTACATACTCAAAATACTAAAGAAAACGGAGAAGACGAGCTTCGACTAAAACAACAAGATTTGTTTTTCTAGGTATACATTTATTAATTAGTTTTAATCAAAAAAAATTTGCTCAGACGTTTTTTTTTAACATTCTCTTTAATATGAACACAACATGTCTCAGGACTTGGTAGTCCCTTTAACATCTTTACAATCACTGATCATGGGAATGTTTGCTTTCTTATAGAAAACTGTAATTTTTACCAGCACCAGCTTGGCTGCATCCCACCGAGTATGGTTTTCACACGTACCACCATCATTAAGATAATACCTGATACATCGCAATACTTGCTGACATGTTTAAAGATGCGTTCCAGTTATTTTTTCCATGTCTTCTGCCATGAATTGTTGTCAAGACCAAATATCATAGACGACTTCCTTGTACTTTTCTTAGCAGAAGTTTTTTGAGAATGTAGTTCCCATTATATATCATCAGTGACAGTATCAGAAACATGGGCATGCATAACAGCTGCTTGTTTATCTTCAATAATTCTAACTGAATGATGAACATCCATATTATCCATTTTCAATACATTAATCTGAAAATAATAATACAGTTATTGCACTGAGCATCTACAGCAATCATGCAATGTTAAACAATATAGAAAACTATTAAACATTCCTTCCCAGTCTAAGTTAATTGATACAAAAGACTACATACGTTATCAAGTGTATACAGTATATAAAAACCTCAAACCCCGTTTTATTTGAAATTAATGTGGGACATCTAAATATATTCTGACTTTAAATATTTGCACAGGGTTATATTGATGATGAAAGAAACATTTTAAGCTTAGGGACAAGACATTCTGAAAAGAAGGGGCCAAATGATGCACCCTAATACTATTAGTATAAATATATTATAATATAATACATTATAATTATTTACTTATTTCAATAAGTTATATATTGACTTAAGTTTAAAAGTTTAAAAACTTTTCATTAATCTATAATTTAAACTCAGTATGTTAAGCTAGATATTTCTTTAAAAATATGCACAATATAGTTTCATATCGTAGCCTCTCATTTAAATCTTAAAGATTTTTTTTTTTGAGTTGTTTTTGTTATATTTTGTTACTAATTAGAAGTTTTATTAGACTTTTTTTTTTTTTTTTTTAGAATGAAAAAACTCCAACTGATTTATGTCCTCCTTATCTTAAAAGAAGATTGTTAGAAAGTTAATAAAATATTTTAGCGTTGTGTTTTTTTTTATGAAAAGCTGAAGGTTCAAATAAATTTTCATTAAACTATATAGTGTAACTTTTTTCTTTAAATCATTTTTTCAATAAAAGAAATTTGAATAAGTGCTTGATATAAAACTTATTAAAAAAGAATTGCCAATTGGTTTAAATGATTGTTAATAGGTAAATTAAAGAGTTACGTGTGTTTGTTAATAATATTTATAAAAATGTTGTTGTACATTATTCGAAATGTTTTATTTTTAAAGGAGAAGAGTTCATATGTTTTCTATTAGTTTCTTTTATTTATATTTAAAGAATTATTCAGTTATATTTAATTTTAAAGAAAGATTTTCATTGAGCTCCTGTGTTTGATTTTTTTGTTTTTTCATTTGTTTTTGTTTCTTAATTATAATTTTAATTTTTTAATCTATTTTTATTTTTTTACCTTTATTTTTGAAACGTTTAAATTTATTTTTTGTATGTACCATAAAATTGCCTATGTTCGGTTGACGTGTAATTTCTGCCATTTGAAAACAAAAAATAAAAATGCTTGCGTTTTTTAATTTTTACAAACTTTTTCTTTTCAACAATAATAATATAGAATAAACAACAACAAATAATATAGATTATTTGTTGTCACTTAGTGCATTAGAGTCATAAAAAAATGATGTTTATTTGAAATCTGCTAAAATAATTTGTTTGCAAAACAAGAATTTTGAAATAATGCTATCTGTTGAAATCTAAAATAAGCATAGTATTGAATAAAATGAATAAATTTAGCATTAATATTATCAAGTGCCATCAAGATAACAATATTTGAAAAAAAAAATTTTTGTTATATTTTTTTACTATTTAAAAGTGTGTTTTATTAGGTGTTTTTTTTTTTTTTATGAAAAAACTCCAACTGATTTGTGTTCTTTTAATTTTAGATAAAATTTTTAGAAAGTTAACAATATTTAAATAAATAAAAAAAATCTATTTTTAAATATTAGGTACTTTTTTTTTTCAAAATCAGTTTTTAAAAGCTTCAGTCACTTATGGATTTTGTGTAACGTGTGTCATGTCATCGTGTCACCAAATGATATAAAACAACAATTAGCAGGAATGTCGTGAATTGTTGGTTGTGAAAAATGTATGTGAACCAATTATTAAAAAAATATATTTGCTTGCACCACGCTGAAACAATTCCTTAGCAATTAAAAATTTCAAAATCTTGCATATTATTAAAATTTTTAATAAGCAAACTTTAAAAGTAATGATAAAATTTAGCATTAGTATATCTAAAAGTCATCTAAATAAACTTGTTTGCTAAAAATAATTGAAAAAAAAAATTTATTAAAAAGCAAATGATTTTTGCTTTTTACTAAATTTTTTAAATAAAAGTTGTTAGTGGGATGTTGATTTTTTAATATTGCACTGTGTTGATTGGAATTTATATAGTGATCAAACTTGAGGTGGTATCGTCAGTTTGAGGTGGTATCGTCAGTTTGAGGTGGTATCGTCAGTTTGAGGTGGTATCGTCAGTTTGAGGTGGTATCATCAGTTTGAGGTGGTATCGATCAGTTGAGGTGGTATCGATCAGTTGAGGTGGTATCGATCAGTTGAGGTGGTATCGATCAGTTGAGGTGGTATCGATCAGTTGAGGTGGTATCGATCACTTGAGGTGGTATTGCTAGTTTGAGGTGGTATCGTCAGTTTGAGGTGGTATTGTCAGTCTTGTCAAACTAGCTGTTTTCATTTGAAATAAAATCTTGAATGATAGTTTTTATTTTTATTTTTACAATATAAATTAACAATATAGTTGTTTGTATAATTCAGAAAAAAAAAATAGAAAAAACATTTATTTATGCACAAGATATGAATTTTCAAAACTTAAGTGAACAAACTTAGGCAATTTTGCGATATGTCTTTAAAACATTTACATAAGTTTTTTTTATACGCATACCTTTAAAACTTATAACTATGTTTTTTATGTTTATTTTTTAACATTTTAACATTAAGTTATTTTTTTATATTACATTTTGAATAAAATTATTTGTTTGTTTTTTATAAATTTATTATGAGTAATTATTAATATTTCCATTTGTAATAAATAAATAAAAAATTGTTTTTTTTTTTTCAGTTTTTTAAAAAAAGTTACATCACTTTTCAAAAGTTTTTCAAAAATTTGCACAACCTCTTGAAACCTTGATTTGAGTTTTGACTTTGTAACTATAGAAAATGGCTGAGGTTGTATTTGAGAAGTTAGAATCAATGCTTCCTGAGCTGGAGGAGTTAGGAAAAGAAGAAGTATTTTCCAAAGAAGAGATTAAGTATTTCAAATAAAATTCAAAAAACTATATTGCTTGTTTAATGCTTATTATGGTTGCTGTTTTATTTTGTTAATTAAGTGCTGCAAGTTACAAATTAGGTTGAATAATTTGTTTTGACCAAAATACAAATCTATTCATGAGTTGAACTTTTTTTTTGTAGAAATATCATTAAAAGACGAACAGATTTTGAATACAAACTTCAAAAAAGAATTGTGGAAAAAAAAGATATACTCAATTATTTAGAAGTAGTTTTTTATTTATTATAAAAGTAGCATATTTTATGTTCTAATAGTATGTTTTTATCAGATTATCGATTTGACTTTTTATATATGTAGTATGAAATGAAGCTTGATAAACTGCGGCAGATAAGATCAAAGGTAATTTTTCATTTGAGCTCTTTAACAAAATGTTAAGTAAACTAAAGTTTAATCTTTTAACAGCATTTCTTATTTTTCTTGTGTCGTACGGCAATCTATATTGTTGATTTAATGTCATTTTTGACTTTATTATTTACCTATAATTTAAGTTTTGTTTTGTTATTAAAAGAATACCTTGATTGTTTATCAAATTAAATTTTAATGTTACTATTACATTAGTTAAAAACAATTATCATTGACCTTTAATTATTGACTTTTAATTTATTGATGTTTATCATTGACTTTAAATTTATTGATTTTTTTGACTTTAGTTATTATTAACTTTTAATTTAAAGCGTTTGAAATTGAAGTTTCATAATCCTGCATCATTGTCGATTTCTCGAAGACTTCATTTATTGTTTCAGGTGAGTATATGATGATTTAAAAAAAAAATTGAAATAGTTTTATTTATTTATAGATAAATTTTTATAGTGTTGAGTTAAATACTATGAAATATGTGTATTTAACTCAGCAGTGTGTATTTAACTCAGTAGTGTGTATTCATACAGGCAGTGTGTAAGTCAGCAGTGTGTAACTCAGCAGTGAAACATAAAAGTGTTACTTATACAAATTAATTGTATATATGTGACTTGTATTCAAACTAGTTTTATGTAGCTGAAATTTTTTTAAGATAGGGTTTTACAACTTCATTATTTGTCAACAGAAAATTATGAATGCACTGATTTTTAGTAATAGATTAGGTGCAAACTTGAGCTTTGAATTAGTAATATATATTTATCTTTTTTCACTTA